TGCAGTGGCACACTCACGGCCACCCCAGCGTAGACCTGCTGGGCTCCAGCGATCCTTCTGCTTCAGCCTTCCAAGTAGCTGGCTACAATGCCTGGCTAATTTTATCTATCTATTTATTTATTTATTTATTGAGTTGAAGTCTCACTTGGTCGCCCAGACTGGAGTGCAGTGGCCGCTCCCGGCCACTGCAGCCTCTCCTGCTGGGCTCCGGTGATCCTTCCGCCTCAGCCTTCTGAATAGCCGGAATTACAGGCATGCGCTACCATGCCTGGCTGATTTTTTGATTTATTGTAGAGATGAGGTCTCGCTGCCCAGGTGGGTCTCGAACCCGCGGGCTCAGGCAATCCACTCGTCTCAGCCTCCCAAAGTGCTGGGATTATAGGCTGAGCACCGAGCACAGCCCACTAATTCCTTTTATAGAAGAAACTGAGGCTCACAGGTTAAGTAACTTGACCGAGTTTATACAGCTAGAATTTGAACCAGGTCTGATCCCCAAATTGTGCTCTTCCATATATGCCAAAATTTGTCAAATTATGGCACATACATCACTGGTGGTATGTGACTTCTTCGGTTGAACACAGACAAATTTATTTTGATAGTTATGTTTTAAAATATGTATTAGAAAAACATAATTAGCACATCAAACCTGTGATTTCACAAATATCACTACTTAGGATGAAAATATAGATAACAATGTTAGACTCAGATTACCTCAAGAAAAATAATGAGTGAATAGTACAGGAGGGCAATTTGGAAGATCCATTTAAAAACAAATATATAAATATCCTATGACTCTGCAATTCCACTTATAGGAATCAACCCTAGGTAAACATTTAAACACACACACTTTTACACAGGCTCCTATATAGTATTTTGTAATAGCAAAAACTGAAAACAGTCTTCATGTCCATCACAAGAAAATGGGTAAGTAAAATGTGTAAAATGTGGTAGAGTCATGACGGCAATCTATACAGCAATTACAATGAATACACTGATCTACATTAGTAACATGCATGCATCTCAAAAACATTAAGAAAGCAAATTGCTAAACAATTATTCAATACGTCATCTGCATTATACACACACACCATTTTTGATGAATTTATGTATGTATGTAAAAGTATTAAAACAAAGTCAAGATGGGAGACAATAAACATAACAGCCATTGAGAGGAGAATTGGAGAGAGTGGCTAATAGTTGAATGAAGCTACCTTTATTTGCAACAATCTAATTTCTCAAAAGGAGAATGAATACATGCATTACTTGGGTAATTAGAACTATCTTTTATTTTTAAAAAATTTTATTATTTTTTATAGAGACAAGGTCTCGCTATATGGCCCAGGCGGGTCTCAAGCTCTTGGGCTCAAGCAATCCTCCTGCCTCAGCCTCCCAAAGTGCTGGGATTATAGGTGTGAGCCACTGCACCCAGCCAGAACTCTTTTAAAAAGCAAAAGCAACATACAGATAAGAATATGAGAAAAGTCTGATGGTATATGCAAATGAGTGAAGGCTGAGCTCATCGCACCAGGCTTTGCTGCCTCCACATGGTCCTTACAGCTAATGAGGTTAGTTCCCAAAAAAAACCTCACATATTAGGCTGGGATGCAGCCCAGCCTACCTCTCCCTATTTCCTCACAATCCAGGTTGGGGCCCAGGTACCTGGTTATCATATATGGTTGAAGCTATAGGCTTTCTCAGACCCTCCACTTACCAGTTAAACTCCATCAGTGCCCTGAAAATTTCCTACTAACCAGGGCATTCAGCACCTTCCAGAGACTCCTTCTGTCCCTAATAGCTGGGATCAGAAGTAATCAGAGGTCCAGGCATGAGGCTTATATTCTGAGGAGTTGGCACCTAGTGGGCTCTAAGAATGGGTAAGGCCTCCGTGAGGAGCTTGACATCATTAAATCCTATGAGGTAGGTAATATTGTTAGCCCCATTTTACAGATGAGGAAACTGAGGCACAGAAAGGTCAAATGACTTACCCAAGGTCAAACAACTAGTAAGTGATAAAAAGTGGGACTAGAACCCATACCTGTCTGTCCCCAGAGCCCATGCTGTTCCTAGTGCCTGACCAAATCCTACCATTTTGTCAAGGTCCAGCTCAAATGTGACCTCCAGGTAACGTAGAGGTTATCACCCTCTTCTCAAATTCCAAGTACATGACATTCAGCTAACTACAGCAATTCACGAACCCATTGCATCTCCTTACCAGGAGGGCAGAGATCACGTCTGATTAAACCCTGTATTCCAAGCACAGAGCCTGACAAATAGAGGGTGTTCAGTATGTGTTTGATGAATACATGAATGAATGAATACATGAATGAGTAAATGAAGGCAGTTTCAGCTGACTGCCCAAGATTCCTATGATGTCCTGAGTACCTTTGCCCAGCTCTGGGGTGCTGTCATCCTAAGCTCTCTTGGAATCAAATTCTATATCTGATTGAAGCAGCCTAGGCTCCTTCTAAAACAGGACTCCAATATCTTTTATTATTTTGCAAACACACCCACATGCACACGTGTGTGGACACACATATACACACATACATACTCACACACACATAGCAGGCAAGGAGCCCAAGGGACTCATGATATGGGTTATGAGGGGGAGGTCGGGTGAGGGGGGAATGTGATGTACAGAAGGCCCTGTTCAGCTCCGCACCTCCTTCCAGAGGCCAGGATACTCCCTGTCACTCAGGAATTTTTGCTACAGACCTAAATCACCTTTGTTCCTCTTCATGCTTGATAGCAGTGCCTAAATCCCATGACTACACCAAAAAAGGCCAGGAGGTAGGGGAAGATTGGGAGCCAAACATCCAGAGTTTGGGAGGGGGCAGCTTAGGGATCCAGACAGGGCAGGAGGGCAGAACTACTGCTACTGCTCATTGGGGTTGGGGTTGGCATCTGGGTACTTGGTGAGGTCGAAGGTCAGGACTTTGCTGATCACACAGTCCCCTTGCTGAAGGAGGAGGGAGAAAAAGAAAAATAAAATTGTAAGGAGAGAATTAAAAGGGGTCTAGCGCCCCAGGACCAGGGGCCTCAAACCCTCCGCCCTACGTACCTGCCCAAAGCCCAGGCAATGGTTCTCTCTGGGTATGAGAGGATGTGCTTGGTCCCATGTGCCTTCTTTCCCTGCCTACTTCTACACTCTCCTCCTTTCTCCACTGTCTGGCTGCCTGTGCCTGGCCTTTCTACCTGTCCCCAAATGCAATGGCCCTGCCCAACTGGACTGGCTAAGCCTCCAGGGCAGGGCTTCAAGCCCAGATGGCTGTTTGGGACCTGATTCCCTACGCTCCCCCGCCCCCTTGCCCCTCCACTGCAGCCTTCCCTTCCTGCCCTGGGAAGTCAGGCAGGGAGTAGGGCTGGCACCTGAGCCAGGCCCTCCCTACCTCAGGATAGACTCCAATGAGGCTCTCAGCCTTGGTGTAGAACTCCTCCTTGAGAGAGATGACGATGGCCTGGAAGTTGCAAGTTGACTGCTCCTTGATGTAATTTGCCACCTGTGGGAGGGGCCGCCAGGCACTTAGCAGGGCTTAAGCCCTAACACTCCACTGTATTTTCCAGCCACAACCAGAAGGCAGAAGGGGTAGGATAGGAAGTAGGGGGTGGGGAAAAGAGAGGCTGAGAGAAGGAGGCTACTGACTACCAAGGTGTGGATGACCCTGGGCCCAGACTGCCAGGCAGAGAGAGCAGGCAGCAGGAATGGCTAAGGTACACTCAGGAATTGCTCCCTGAAACCCAGCCCCAACCTGAGGGGCCTCCCCCCGTGCCCCACTTTCCTTGCACCCACCTTGCCAATGTTGGTGTTATCCAAGGCAGCATCAATTTCATCCAGGACGAAGAAGGGGGCTGGCTTGTAGCTGGGAGGGAACCAGTAGGTAAGCTGACACTGAGGGGGGAGGGGATGGCAAGGCAGGGTGGGACAGGCCCAAGTCCTATCCAACAGGCCAGCTTCCCACTCCACTTTTTCAGAAACTGAAAATGTAGGTCTTTATGTTGCCTGAGCCACTAGGAGCCAATACATCAGCTGAGCCCTCCCCTCTGTACCCAGCCCTGTGCTCTAGGATCCTGTAGAACCACAAGAAGACATGGTCCTCTCAGGAGCTTCCAGGCCAGCTGGAGAGATAATGCAGTCCTAGGTTCTACTCATACTGACCAAGCCACCTAGAGGTCTACCCCACCCCAACATATACCATGCTCTATCATGTCTCCTTGCCTCTGCACACACTGCACCCTTGGCCTAGAATTCCTGCTGATCTCCTTGGCAAACTTTTGCCCATCCTTTATATCTCTGCTCAAGTGTTACCTGCCCTTAAAAGTCTTCCTTAGCCCACTGATACCCACCCCCCAGACTGGGATAATATACCTCCTCTGTGTATCCACAGCACCCACGCTCACCCAGTTACAACACTTAGCACACTATTTACGTGTCTGGCTTCTACTAGACTGTGAGATCCTCTGGGGCTGAAGACCATTTCTGAAACAACTGTATCTCCAATCCCTCTGCAGGGTCTGGTACAGAGCAGCACTCAAGAAGTGCTCACAGAATGATGCTGTACAATCAAGCACTAAGTTGAGTCAGACTCAAGTACTACTGGCATTCAGGAGGGGGTGATCATGGTATGTCACAGTGGTCAAGGAGGGCTTCCTAGAGGAAGGGAAGGAGAATGAGGAAGTGTAAAGGGGTGGAAGATGAGAGGCAAGCTAGATTTGCATGGTAAAGGCTTATTAGCCAGCAACCATGTGAGCAAAAGCTTGGAGGTAGGACTGAATACATGCAGGCGTCAGTGAGGACATGCTGAGGACATGCCAAGTACATGAGGGTGGATGGGGAAGACAGGTCCAGGAAAATAAAGGCCAGATACACTGTAGTAGGTAGTGAAACAGGGACACAATCGATTCCACCAGAACATCTTCACCTCTGCAGATCTGCATATCCTTGGGCCCCAGAGTCTCTGGTGGCCTCAGTTCAGCCTCCTGTTCTGGGGGGACAGCCTTACCTGTGGATGGCAAAGAGCAAGGCCAAAGCTGCCACTGTCTTCTCCCCCCCTGACAAGTTGTCCATAGGCCGGAAGCGTTTCCCAGGAGCCACACAGTTGTAGTTGATGCCATCCAAGTAGGGCTCCTCAGGGTTCTCAGGGCCCAGGAATGCCTGTGGGAAGGCAAATGAGTCAAGATCTGGATGTAAGTCTGGATGGAGATGGGGATATGAAACCTAGAGGGAAAGGCAAGCAAGGATTTAGGAGCTCCAACCTACCTGGGCACTGCTATTACGGGACAGGGCCTTATAGATCTCATCAATGTTGGTAGCCACAGATTCAAAACAAGCATTGAAGCGGTCAAAGCGCTCCTTCTTGATCTGTTCGAATGCCTGCTTGGCCTTCTTTGCTCGCTTTCGCGCTGCCTCAAACTCTGCCAGGAAGAAAAACAGGAGACCCCTCAGTGCCCTGGCTCTGTCAGAGCTGAGGAACACACCCTGGCAAGAATGATCTGCAAAGGATAATTCAGAACAGGGACAACCCTATTGAGAAATAGAGAGAGAAATGCCTGAAGAGGGTCCCACAAGGATTTGTATCCAGTGGGCTGGCCACCAGATACAGTGTAGAGTAAGAAACATGGGCCTGGAGTCACATAAACATGGATTCCTCCCTGGGCTCTACCAGCAACCAGCTGTTTGACCATAGACAGGTCATTTACCCTCTGGGAACCTCAGCAGTTTTCTACTCTACAAAACAGGTATGATAACCCCCACTGTTTAGGGATCCTGGGAGTTTTAAGTAAGAAAGCTCGTAGCTGGGCACGGTGCCTCATGCCTGTAATCTCAGCACATTGGGAGGCAGAGGCGAGAGGGCTGCTTGAGCTCAGAGATTTGAGACCAGCCTGAGCAACATGGTGAGACCCCCATCTCTACAATAAATCAAAAAACCAGCCAGCCGTGGTGGCACATGCCTGTGGTTCCAGCTACTTGGAAGGCTGAGGAGGAAGGATTGCCTGAGCCCAGTGGGTGGAGGCTGCAGTGGCCGTGAATGTGCCATTGCACTCCAGCCTGGGTGACAGAGCAAGGCTCTGACTCAAAAAAAAAAGAAAGAAAGAAAGAAAGAAAGCATGTAAAAACAGGAGCTGCCGTGATGTATAGCAGGCCCGTGGCATACTTCTAGCTTTCTGCCCTTGTCTTAGGCTCAAGTAGAAGAGAAAATCTTACCATCTGAGGTCTCCTGGAACTTGTCTCGGACACTTTCCAGCTTTTCCATGGCCTTCATGTTAGGGGCAGCAATACGCTGAAGCACACTCTGCTGCTCATTCAGCTTCTGCTGCAGTGTGTTCATCTCCTGCTTGATCTCTTCCTCAGCCTGGGCATCCTGCAAGCCCCAGGCCCAGCAACATCAAGCAGGGCCTGCCCCCTGCACTCAGGCCCCCACAGAGATGACTGATCTAGTGGGGAGTGGGAGCCTGCTCTCATGCAGAAAGCAGATTCTTCTACCTCAGCTCGGATCCTTCCACAGTAACCATTCCTATCATCCCTGGAAATTATAGGCTGAGACCACTTTCTCACCCTTCCCCCAGGCCCTGCTAACTTGTCTCTCAAGAAGAGCAGCTGGTGGTGCCCCTCTCTGGCTCTCAGCCCAGGCCATGAGCCAGCACCATCCCAGGGTAACCTAGAGGCTCCCACACAGGCTGCTCTGGACTCTACTTACAGCTCCACAATGAATAAGGCAACTCACGTTTCGACTTAGATCACTATATCTGAGCAATATTGCAATCCATGTCTGGGCTTGTGCCTTTCTGCTACTTTCACTCAACAAACATTTACTGAATGCCTACCAAGTCGCAAGGCACTGGGGCCATCATGTCCTCACAGAGCTCAAAGGTCTAACAGAAGAATGTATGGAAGTAAACAATCAGAACACCGTAGGATGAATGTGAAAACAACAATAAGCAGACTTGGCTGGGCGAGGTGGCTCATGCCCATGATCCCAACACTTTGGGAGGCTGATATGAGAGGACTGCCTGAGCCCTGGAGTTCAAGACCAGCCTGGGCAACATAGAGAGACCTCATCTCTACAATAAATCAAAAAATTAGTCAGGCATGGCGCCACATGTCTGTAGTCCCAGCTATCTGGAAGGCTGAAGTGGAAGGATTGCCTGAGCCCAGCAGGTTGAGGCTGCAGTAGTGACAATGATAGAGTGAGACTTTGACTCAGAAAAAGAAAAAGAAAAAAAGCAGACAGTGTTGAATCACTACACAAGAAGGGCACCAAACGCAGACTCTGGGGCTAGGGAAGATTTCCAGGAATATTTAAGCTAAGGCCTACAGGGTAAATGGGTGAGCTCAGAGAGAAGAAACAGTATTCTATGTGGTCGGGAGCATCACAGGTAAAAGCAGGGGGGAAGGGGGGTTGCTCATAGTTAAGTCATTGAACTGAAAGCAATTCTAGACCGGGCTCAGTGGCTCAGCCTGTAATCCCACGCTTTGGGAGGCCGAGGTGAGTGAATTGCCTGAACCCATGGGTTCGAGACCTGCCTGGGCAACTTGGTGAGACCTCATCTCTACGATAAATCAAAAAAATTAGCCAGGTGTGGTAGCGCGCACCTGTAATTCCAGCTACTTGGAAGGCTGAGGCGGAAGGATTGCTGGAGCCCAGAAGGTCGAGGCTGTGGTGGCTGGAAGCAGCCACTGCACTCCAGTCTGGATGACTGAGTGAGACTCCAACTCAAAAAAGAAAAAAAAAAAGAAGGGAAAAAAAAAAAAAAGAAAGCAATTCTAAAGAATAATCAACCTTAGGCAAGACACAGTGGCTCACGCCTATAATCCCAACACTTTGGGAGGCAGAGGTAAGAGGATTGCCTGACCCCAGGGGATCGAGACCAGCCTGGATAGCTTGGTGAGACCTTGTTTTTTACAATAAAAAAAATTAGCCAGGTGGGGTGGTGTGCACCTGTAGTTCCAGCTACTTGGAAGGCTGAGGTGGAAGGTTCACCTGAGCCCAGCAGGTCGAGGTTGCAGTGGCCGTTAGCATGCTATTGCATGCACTCCAGCCTGGGCAACAGAGTGAGACTCTGATTAAAAAAAAAAAAAAGAGTAATCAACATTAATAAATTTGGAAAATAAACCAAAAGAAATCAATACGGCAATAGTAGCAACTGTGCATGGGTATGCAATGTGCATTTATGCACGCATATAAGTGTGTTGGGGGAGGGCACAAGGAGAGGAGAGGCTATATAGACAAGAAGTCAGACTATGAAGGGCCTTATAAGGTTTACACTTTGCTCTAAAAGAGGTGAGGGACCACTGAATGAGTTCAAGAACAAGTAGAATATATCTGTAATGTATATACAATATATATGCTTTTTTATCTTTTATTTTTATTTTTTTGAGTTGGAGTCTCACTCTGTTGCCCAGGCTGGAGTGCAGTGGCATGCTCACAGCCACCGCAGATTCAACCTGCTGGGTTCAGGTGATCCTTCTACCTCAGCCTTCCAAGTAGTTGGAACTACAGGCACGTGCTACCATGCCTGGCTGATTTTTTGATTTATTGCAGAGATGAGGTCTTGCCAAGTTGCCCAGGCTGGTCTCGAATCCATGGGCTCAGGCAATCCTCTCACCTCGGCCTCCCAAAGTGCTGGGATTATAGGCATGAGCCACCATGCCCAGCCCAATATATATATTTAAAATGTAAACATATTTACATTTTAGAAAGCCCCTCTGAAGATCTCTATATGCTGTTGTGGAATGGTCTCTGGGAGAGGTTTTTAAGTAAAATATGAAAGATACACAATAGTATGTTATCTTTTATCTAAAAGAAGGTGAAGAGAATACAAATGTATTTGCACACAAATATATTTGTATTTTAAGCATACAAAAACAACAAAGGATAATCCAAAAACTAAGTAAAAGGGTTACCTATTGAGAATGAGAGGTGAAGGGACAAGAATAGAAGCTAGAGTTCTCTTTATGTACCTTAATACTTTTGGTCTTAGAACCATATGAAAGCTGGGCTCGGTGGCTCAGCCTGTAATCCCAGCACTTTGGGAGGCCAAGGTAAGTGGATTGCCTGAGCCCGCAGGTTCAAGACCCACCTGGGTAACTTGGCGAGACCTCATCTCTACAATAAATCAAAAAATTAGCCAGGTGTGGTAGCGCGCGCCTGTAGTTCCAGCTACTTGGAAGGCTGAGGCGGAAGGATCGCCGGAGCCCAGCAGGTTGAGGCTGTGGCGGCCGGGAGCGGCTGCACTCCAGTCTGGGCAACAGAGTGAGACTCCAACTCAAAAAAAAAGAACCGTATGAAGATGTTATTCACATCTATAATTACAAAATAAATTAAATCAAAATGTGAAAAAAAACCAGGTGAAACAACTGTTGGGGAACAAGAAACTCACAAGATGCCAAAGATTCACTATAAAGATTAATTAATGACAAAGGCAAAAGTTAGGTTTAGCTTTGGGGAATCTAGCAATTGACACTTTAACTAAGGGATCAAATACAGCATCACTAATAATGAGCATATCCTGACATGATGCACTGCTTGGTGAGATGCCACATGAAGATCACCAATGAAATGTTCTTGCCAAAAAATACTTAACCTGAATCCACTGAGCTTCCAGACTAGACCAAATTTCTAATTTACAGGAGACACACGGGTTGGAAGAACAGGTAAACAATACTATAAAGAAACTGATATATCCATAATGTGAGATGTTTTCCAAGACAACTCACAAAGACTCATCGAAAGATAAACGCCACAAATAGAAGGTGAAGAGACTGTTCCATATTTAAAGAAACTAAAGAGATATAATAACCAAAAGCAATTTATAAATCTTAATTGGATCCTAGTACTAAAAATAAAACCTAAAAACTATAAAAGACTTTTGGAACACCTAGGGAAATTCAAATTTGGATTGGATATTAAATATTATGAAATAATTATTCATTTTCTTAGGTGCAATACAAAATTATGGTTACGTAAGACAATCCCTTGTTCTTAGCATGGTAAAATATTTATGGTTGAACTATGATGGCCACACTTTCTTGAAAAGGTTCAGCAAAAACAAAACTGCATTTAGTGTGGCAAGAGGAAGGAAGGGGAGAGATGACAGAGAAAGCAAATGTGGTAAAATATTCATTGGTGAATCCAAGGTGAAAGGTATATGGTTCACTGTTCTATTCTTTCAACTTTTCTGCAGGTTTGAAACATTTCAAAATTAAAGTTGGGAAAAAAATAAATTAAAATGCTAAAAAGAGCAATCCCTAAAAATGGAAAACAAAATAAAACAAAGAAACCTAACTATATATTAAGCTGGTTAAACACTCAGAGAATTCTTTTAAATTACTTTAAAACATAGAAACATGACTATACATGCCTAATGAGACATTCTTTGGCTTAATGACAAAAAGAACTTCAAGAAACTCAAACTATTTAAAACTGCATTCAACAATCAAATTGTTACTAAAAATATCTTACTGTGATTTTCAAACTATTATATATAGAGTAGGATAAAGTAAATATGTTATTATGCTAGTGTTGCTAGGATCCAAGATTTTCAGCAAGAATAACTGGGAGACTCAAACATAAAATTAATGATGTTAAGCCGTGAAAATTACACTTTCAATTTAAAGTATCAGTATGAACTTATGATGCATTTTTCCTTCAAAATAAAAAATGTAAGCAACCTTCTCGGGTCCCCTCCCACTATGGGAGCTTTCCTGTCCTCTCAATAAATCCTGTTTTCCCATCAAAAAATAAAAATAAAAAATGCATTTAGCAGTCCAATCTACTGAAAATTACTAGAAGCAATGACCAACCCAGTAGTCATGAACACTCCAGTATCTAGATGGTATTTGCTAAATAGCATTTCCCACTAAAAGAAATCAGAGTTTCTCAGGGAAATAGCTGATTCCAGGTCTGGGGTAGGAAATGTAGAGGATGGGCCTGGACATTAATCGAAAAGCAAGGTGGTATCAAAGACCATAAGGGTTATGTCAAAATTATTCAGAAGCTGGACAGGTGCGGTGGCTCATGTCTATAATCCCAGCACTTTAGGAGGTTGAGGTGAGAGGACTGCCTGAAGCCATGGGTTTGAGACCAGCCTGAGCAACTTGGTGAGACCTCACCTCTAAAAATTTAGCCAGGCATGGTGGCACGTGCCTGTAGTTCCAACTACTTGGAAGCCTGAAGTGGAAGTGGAAGGATCAACTGAGCACAGTAGGTCGAAGCTACGGTGACTGTGAGTGTGCTACTGCACTCCAGCCTGGGAGACATGGTGACACTCCAACTCCAAAAAAAAAAAAAAATTCAGAAGCCAAACTGAGTTACCACTGACAGCCTGAGCACAAAGAAGGGTAAGCCGGGCGAGGTGGCTC